ACTGGGACCCAAAATTTAGTGGCGGCAAAAATATAGAACATGGTAGCAGAATTTAAGACCCGCCGAGATTGCATTAGGCGGTAAGATTAAGCGATGGCCCTTGATAAGCCTTAAGTATATGTAGAATTTATTCGGGAATCAGATAAGCCTTAAGTAATAAAACTGAGGCTTAATTGTCTGACAAACTGAGGCAAGAAGCAAGACAAAATTTAGGAGAACAACTTGTCTTTAGTCAACCCAATAATGTATAAAGGACGCTGTTAAGCTAGGCTAAAATTATACTTTACTGATTCCAAGGAATTTCAGTTAATATAGCTGATTACCCCATTCCTTAATTTTCTGATTTGATCCAGCTTATTATTTTTTGCAGGCTGTTATTATCACAGCAATTTTATGAAAATTAAAGTTTGAATTTTCAGTTATGTAGAAAAGAGTTTCTAATTCTAGATCTGCAACAGAATCTACAAAGCAAAAGCATGTTTTGATGTCCATTAAACAAAAAATGTAATTGCTGCAAGAAATGGATAAAGGTACACCCGTCTCAAAATTACAAGAGGAATGCCATTGAAAAGTTAATGTTGAAGAGAAATAATATGATATACAGATATAAGAAAACAGAAAATGAAACTTTCTGAATTTCTTGTGGATTCGGACACCCCACTTGCAATGAATAACATAAAAATTATTCATTATGCTAAACGTGATGATCATGACAAAGTGATGAACTGAATGGTTCACATAGTGTTGCAGCGAGAGCGTGTCATTGACAGGTCCAACAATATTGGCTCAAGCCAAAATATTTCATGAAGAAATGAACTTAGAAGTTGGGTACACATATTGGACAAGATGGTTAACAAAATTTTAAAATCTCAATGGTATAAGGCAATTAAAAATTTCAGATGAAATAGCTTCAGCTGACACTGAAGTTAGCTTCATTTTATTCCCATGTTTTCCATGCTCTTCAAGTTTGCTCCTTCAAACTATCCCTTGATGAAGAACTAAATTATTTAAAAGCAATAGCTATTGACAGGGGCTTTTCACCCAACATTATTAATCAAGCAGTTAAAAAAATTTTCATCTCAACACACCAAAACGCATGCTCTTGTTTTAGGAGATTATAAAAATTCTGTTACCATTCCCTTCTTTCCATCAATTAGCTATAAAGTTGCACGCATTTTGCAGAAATTTAACTTTTGGGTCATTTATTCTCCCATCAATAAAATTCCGAGTTCCATACTCAAGGACCCCATTCCGGATATGAATTCCTGGGGTATTTACAGGATTCCTTGCCAGTGTGGCTTAATTTACATTGGCCAAATTAAGACAGCCTTAAAATTTCACATTAAGGAACATGAGGCATATGTTAGAAAAAAGGAAACACAGAAGTCTTCTGTAGCCCAACATTGTCGGTCCGAAAATCACACTTTCAATTTTTCTGCTGTCAAAATTATTCAAAAAGCATTTTTCATTGGTGAACTGAATTTTCTAGAGCTATTACACATTAAAAAAAAAAATCTTTCTGTTCTAGTTAACGACCCTAATTCCAATCCATATTTGCTTCAGCCTTTAAAGAAATTATGTTTTAGTTCTGGTTTCATCAACAGATGGCATCAGTAGCTTATCTCCTGGCCAGGCTTTATCTTATCTAATCATTATATCTTATCTCGTTCATTTGCGCTTTTGCAGCTGAGGATGATGGTTTGGTAAAACCATCAAAACTTGTGAAAATTTGAAAATATAACGCTGGCTTTTGTTCTTTGACATCTAAATTGTTTACCTAATACCTGGAAAAATTCCAAATCTGGAATTGCCAAAGTCCCAACGAGTCCAGATCTTGGACTTTGTATTGTACCATCTTTTTCTATTCCTTCTTAATGGATTGAGGTTTGCCTACACTTTTAGTGAGGTTCTACAGGGCTACAGGAAAGCTTTTGGTTTTAATTTAAAGCTTTGAAGACCATAATGCCCCAGACAGCCGTTCATTCAAACGACTATAGCCACTCCAAACCGCAAAAATTCTGATGTTCCTTTCTTCACTCCCCTTTATAGCAGACAGCTTGTCCTAAAAGGGTTTATTTGTGGTTTCTTATCTTTAGTTGTTAGGAAGCAGAAAGGATTCAATTACCTCTCTGTGAATTAATGAATGGGGAGGGGAAAAAACTGCTGTGAATTCTCGAAAGGCATTTTGGGCACTTTAGTATTTCAAGCATACAATTAGCAAAGATTTCAGTTTTTCAAACAGTTAACGCAATAGGCATAACCAATTAAATTCCAGATTCCTTTAAATCAATCTCAATATACATTTAAAGATTCTAATAACTTTTCATTTGATTCAGGATTTACTGTACATATCCTTTGTACCAGATTTAACTTTTGTAATGTTAAAACAGCTCAAACAGTTTTATCACATGCTTCTACTTAAAATTCTACTTTATATTTATCCTCTTTAGATGTCTGACATGGCTTACATTTTCCAACTACATCAAATTTAAAACCATTCTAATTATTTAAAGGGACTTCTGATTCAGTGACACATTTATATCTTAGATTTAATTGTTTAAATGACAACACATTACATTCATCAGCAATATCCAATTTAACCAAATAAGTAGGCATGTTTGTTTTTAGTTTTCAAAACCCCTGCATTCTATTTTTAGAACATAGGTTTTTGTCATCTACTGATCATAAAATATATTTATCATCATTATAATATGACTCATGCTCTAAATTATTTTGTAAAATATTGACACTTTTATTAGTGGCCAAAAGGGATTTTTTTTACAGTATACATAATTATAGCAGGACAGTTGCATAACTTGTGAGTTCGCCACTTTTTAAATGATTTTGAACTATTGAGCTTGTTTACTTGACAATTTGTACGTGATTCAGTATTTTGTTGCTTTTGTTTTACATGGTATTTTCTCTTAGACAACTGGCTTTTTTCTTCTGAAGGTGAAATTTTATTCCATTTTATCACTTCTACTTCATTTTCTTCAGTTTTCAGCTAAAGTTCTGTTAATTCAGTTACTCTGCACATTTTAATACATTTCTCCACCAATGTTAACTGACCTTCCCACGATTTAAGATTTTTAATTAATCTTCCACTTATAATTCTATGTCTAAATTATCTTTTCATTTTGCAAATCCAATAACTAAATTAACTCTTTTAAAAAGTCATCAAACGAATCATTTATGTGTTGTATTCAGAAGAAAAATATATACTGATCAAAACTTTTGTTTGCTATTGGTATAGGACATTTTCGAAAGCTTCAGTTACTTTGCCAACACATTTATTATCTTCTTTACTTAAATAAAAGATATTAAACTTTTCAAGCACCTTTTGCACCAATAACACACAATGAAATAGCTGCTTTAGTTTCGGAGGATTTAATAGTACAGTCAAAAGTTGTTAATTCGGACTCGTCGGGACTTCGGCAATTCCGGATTATCGATTTTTCCGGATTATAGATCATCAGTTTAAATCTGGTAAAATGGCATGCAGAAATTATAAAATTAAAAATATGAAACCATAATTTACGAAATAAAGAACAATTATGATCTAAAGTGTATCAAAATTTACAAAAAAAAAAAAAAAAAAAAAAAAAAGCTTAATATTTATTTGTTTATTTTACTAAACATTTCTTTCAATGTAAGTTGTTCAAGTTGCTTCGTTTTTTACGTGATAATACATTCTCTTTAATTCTATAAACAGACATAATTTCTTGTTCAGTTACAAAGTTCCGCTGTTCAAGTCCTATAATTGCTGTGTCGAGAATACCGACTAATTTGTCAATCGAATTTTTTTCGTTTTCAATAACCTCTGTTACTTTCTTCGCTATCGGAAGCGAATTATAACGACGAGGCATTTGATTTAAATCATATCAAAGACGGAGTACATCGAAATGAAATACTACATTTAGTAAGCAATTATAAGCCAAATAAAATAAAAATATCTACCCTGAAGATAAGGATAGTGCTGACAGATCAACTTCCAATTCATTGCGTGCGCCGCGGCGTTAAAGATAAACAAACGTTAAAGTATAGATGCCTTTATTCATTTTTTGCTGCAACTCCACTTTTTGTTTAATGGCCTCCGAAACATTCTTTTGCTTTGTAGATCCGTTACATATTAGTAAATATAAATCGGAAATTCTATTTTACATAATCGAAAGTTCAAGCTAACTTTTATAAAATTGCTCTAACAGTATGCAAAAAATAATAAGCCGGATCCAATTCGAAGATTAAGGAACAACACAATCTGCAACATTAACTGAAATAGATAATTAGATAATTTTAGCTTAGCTTACACCATCCGTTATACATTAAACGCGCATTCGTAAACGTATTTTACACATGCGCAAATTCGCAAGGCCGTATGCGCAGAAAGTTTGTAGCTTTGAGGTCCGGATTATGGGTGTCCGAATTAACGACTTTTGACTGTATTACCATTGCATTTAATAGTATTACCACAACATTCAAAATCTTGAACTTCTGTTTCGAATTCTTCTAATTTTCATTTATTACCTTCAAAACTTCTTTATTTTTCATTTTTAAACCTTAAGATTGTTAGGTGGATTTAATCCACACATATTTAGTCTATATACACATATAATTTTGGCCACTTCAAATGAAAATAAACAAAGCACTTACCAATGATTCCAAGTTTCAATTTCATTGTAAACAACTTGCATTCATATATCAACACTGAATATATCTTCAAGGTTATTCATAAGTGACCGGTGGGTGGAAACAATTACAAGATCAGCTAAACCTCATTTACTATACACTCTAATGTTTTGAACTACAGTTATTGTTATATTATGTATTATGTTACAGCTACACATGTCACATTTAGGAAGTATTACAAATTTTACTTTAAACACATATATAAACCTACCACAATGCAAACTGAGAAAGGGTATTAGATTCCATTCCTACCTCAGCAACAAAACCTTGGATTATAGTAGCAAATCATAATCACAAACACTCAAGTTACATATTTAATCAAACATGAAACTCACAACTCTCTTAACAGCTCTTCTTCGGAAATTCCATTCTTCAGCCTGCAATTTCCGTGCTACTGCAGCATCATCTAAAACCTAAAGTTAATAAATAAATATAAAACTTTTAATATGCTGCTCAAGTGATACTGAAAATTTACAGCTACACAGAAAAACCACCTCACATCATACACGCACAATAAACAAAGGGAAAGAAATATATGTAAATGTAACCTTAATTTGCATGTCCATTTCCTCGAACTAAACAATTTTCTTTCTTATTTAGACTGTTAATCCACTGATATAAATTAAAGATCTCAAATCATCTATGTTCCACTGAACATGACAATGGCACCAGTTTAAATGAGCCCATCTGAAACTGAAATGAGTGGGACACAAACCATTGCTTTTATCGTCCAACCTCATTTAAGCCTTCGTGCAGCAGAAGAATGGCCGAGTTCCCGTGTCAGCCCGGAGGTCTAAACCCAAATCTCTTGTAGTCACTTCGCAGTTTGCTCGAGCTGACAATGACAGAAAATGGTCTTCTGATGCAGTTGTTGCTCTTGGTCACTCTTGACCAGGCTGTCTAACAACTGATCCAATGCTTAAAAACCAGCTGCAAATTCTTGATACGACATTTTGGGGGTATTCAAATCTTCGGCGACCTCCATTTGTGTTTGACCTTTGATTCTACCAATTATTTACCATTTCTTACCTTCACCTAAATGATGCCTTTGAGCCATAATTACTAAACACTCTTATAAACCACATTCACATTAAGCTCTACAGTCTCAAAATTAGAATTGTGTACTGCAAAGTATTAAACTTTTCAGTATTAAAATCAAATCGTATGACCCCAAACTTATGAAGTTTGATCTTGGACTCTGATGATAGTTCAACTGTTCCTTCGTAACTGAAGAAGTGAACAGGACGCTAATCAGTACGGATTTTCTTGCAAATTTTAACCTTTTGGTACATTCCCAAAAACGCAAGTTGATTGATGGCACTACATTATTAACAATTATTGGAACTTCTTGTTTTCAAATTAATAGCAATATTTCAATTTTAAATGCAGTATATGTAAGTATATGGTATATGGTCCAAAAGTAACTGGTCGAGCCCACTATATCTTACAAAGAAAAAAGCATGCGACTGCAGACTTAGTGGGGACTGTCACGTATTAAACATCATCCTGATTTCTGATAGATACCATTTTCTATTTTTAACATACTGCACTTATATTTTAGCCAAAACAACAGTTTTCTCATCCATAGACCTCGTTAGAGCTCACCAACGAATTCCAGTTCATGAGGAAGATATACCAAAAAACAGCAATTCTCACACCTTTTTGATTCATTAGAGTTCTCATTCATGAAGTGTGTCCTATGCAATGCATTCTGACATTTAAAGAACAAGGAGCTGAATGCACTAGATTTTGTATTTTGCTATTTGGATCACATCCTAATAACCTCTCCAGATGAAGAAAGTGATTGGCAACATTTACAGGCAATCCTTGAGAGACTAAATGAATAGGGAATGTGCATTAATGCAGCAAAGTGTAAATTTGGTCAAACTAAACTTGAAATTCCTGGAATACGAAGTGTCAGCTTAAGAAATTAAACCTCATTCAAAGAAAGTCGATGCAATCAATATTTTCCCAGAACCAAAGTCATGCATTAGTTGTTACAGATGATTTTTACGTATGATGAATTTTTATCACAGATTGATACCAAATTGTAAGAAATTGCAAAAACCTTTAACAACATAGCTCAGTGGTACCAAAAAGAACTGCAGAAAACAAATACTGTGGATGGAAGAAACCAGACAAGGCTTCTGCGGTTTAAAAGATGCACTTATAGTTATGCACCAATTTAAGTCACCCTTCCGTAAAGACCAAAATATCATTGACAACTGATGCCTCTGGCACAGCCATTGGAGCTGTTTTACAACAAACAGATTGTGGACAATTAAAAACTCTTGAGTTTCTTTCCCCAAACATTGGAACCAAACTAACGAAAATATACCGCGTATAGAACTATTAGCCAAATTTATACCATAGTAAAATATTTCAAACACGTGTTATAGAGTCAATCTTTTACAATATACACTGAATCTTAAATTAATAACATCTGCTTTCCAACAAGATTTTGGAAAAGCCTCAGCAAGGCATGTTAGTCAACTGTCATACAATGGCCAGTTCTCAAATGATATCCAATTCATCCAAAGGGAAGAAAATATTGTTGCTGACACTCTTCCTATAGAACCATTTCTATGCATCTACAACAGACTGGCAAACTACAGCAGACTAGCAAGATGAATATTTGGAGATACAGTCAAAAGTCGTTAATCCGGACTCGTCGGGACTTCAGCGATTCTGGATTATCGATTTTTCCGGATTATAGATCATCAGTTTAAATCTCGTAAGATGGCATGCAGAAATTCTAAAATTAAAAATATGAAACCGTAATTTATAAAATAATGAGCAATTATGATCTAAAGGGTATCAAAATTTACAAAAAAAAAAAGCTTAATATTTATTTGTTTACTTTATTAAACATTTCTTTCAATGTAAGTTGTTTAAGTTGCTTCGTTTTATGTGATAATACTTTCTCTTTAATTCTATAAACAGACATAATTTCTTGTTCAGTTACAAAGTTCCGCAGTTCAAGTCTCGTTAATTGCTGTGCCGAGAATACCGACTAACTTGTCAATAACTTCTCTGTCACATTCTTCATGTCTTTATCCATTTTTTGCAGCAATTCCACTTTTTGTTTGTTGGCCATCGAAACATACTTTCGTTTTGTAGATCCTTTGGAAGTTCCAGCATCGGAAATTCTATTTGACATAATCGAAAGTTCAAGCTTACTTTTATAAAATTGCTCTAACAGTCTGCAAAAAATAATAAGCGGGATCCAAATTCGAAGTTTAAGGAACAACACAATTATTAACATTAACTGAAATATATAATTAGATAATTTTAGCTTACACCGTCCACTATACATTAAACACGCAGGCGAAAACATATTCTGCACTTGCGCACACGCATATGCGCAGTAGTCAAGGTCTTACGCGCAGCGCATGCGCAGAAAGTTTTTAGCTTTGAGGTCCGGATTATAAATCATTCCGGATTATGGGTGTCCGAATTAACGACTTTTGACTGTACTGAGAAGCAACCCAAACTTAAAAATCTTACAAATCCCTATACCTGAGAACAACGTGAAAATCTACTGCAATATTTCTACAAATTATAATCATTCATACATACCTGCAGAATTCGGGCAGAAAATATTTTCATCATTTCAAAACTTAAACTGGAATAAGATCAACAGTTAACCAGTAGAGAAGCTGAGACCCAGATCATCCTCTTACATTATTAATACTCCTTGCTGTATACGATCCAAGGGGTCGCTAACCTATAGGTCGACTCAATGAGCCAGAACAAAGCCATGCTGTATGACAAGTATGCTGAGTAACTCGCATTCTACATCCGTGTCCCTGGAGTGAACAGCAAAGAATCCATTATCAATGAGGTGGCTCCAACCCCTGACAGCAGAACAAAGTACATAGAAGCTCAGAAGTCTGACAAACCAAGCCACCAAACTGGCTGTCAAAATGAAATCAATGCAAAATCATCCAGGGGCCCCCAAGAAGGGACAACAAGGAAAGATAAAAACAATAAAGTATCAAGGCATCAGGTGCCCATTGGCCACCTCAAGCAATCTTCAAGGCCCCTCACAGTCTCCGTCTCCACCAACGTTTCTCACTGGACAGCTAGTAATATCAAACCATATAGCTCCAACACAAGCTTAGGACAGACAAGACAGTAGCATATAGTTCCTGCCAAGCCTGAACCATCCCCTGAATAAATGAGGTTTTTGTCCAATGAAGCCTGATTTTATGCCCCTGTGATCAAGACTTCATACGTACAGATCCTAGCCAGTTGCTTTACAGGTTTTCCTGCATAGATCTTAGGGGGCCAGATAAGATTAGCAAGATCAGCAATCAAGTTCATAATAAACTGTTTCATACGGCCCAGCATGAATAAAGTTTGCCAACTATGGACCTGAGCATGTTTATCATCTCAACAGTCTTAAGTCCATAGAGATATACAGTCAGCTTTGGGAGTATTCGAAGTATCTCCACACAGACTGCAGCATTTAAACATAGGTTTGATTGATCCGATACCTATTTGCAAAGGATTTAAATAGCTTCTATCATCCATCATTATATACAATGGATTGAAGCAGTGTCATTAGAAGATCAATCAGTAGAATCAGCCGCTAAAGCTTTGGTTTATAACTGTTTCCACACTTAGAATTCCAAATCGCATAACATTTGACCAAGATCAGTAGCCATTGATTGATAGCTAACTTTTTAAGTCTTTGGAAAATATCTTGGTTTTTATACAAATGCTACAACTGTGTATAATTCGCAGGCAAATGGCTTGGTCGAAAGACAGCACAGAACTTTAAAAGCAAGCCTAAAATTTCACATGCTGGAATCAATATCATGGCTGGAGGCATTACCTTTCATTCTTCAAGGCATGGTTCCACAAATTCATTCAGGTTGGAAGTGCTACATTAGCATACTTTTGGACATCTGCACTGAAAAAGAATCCACCCTCTTTACTAGAACATTTACTCCCTCAAGCATTTAACCCCTCACACATATCCCCTTATCACTTGTCAGCGCGGTTTACCAATGTTCGAGAGGCTAGGACAAATGGTAGATTAAGTGACCTCAAACAATAGAGAGCACATGTATCTCTTACGCTTCTTCATGAAGAAACAGGGTGCACGTTATACGGTGAATATACCTAAAAATTAAAAAGTGCAACTTGACATTATAGATGCATGTTACACATCAGAAAATACCCCCCTCTCATAAACAAAAATGTGAACTGTACTAAAATCTAGCAAAATTCGTTTATTTTAAATATAACCATGGCAGTAAAAATCTAAACCTTAATAAATTAAAACCATGAGAACCTTTCATATTTTCAAGAATATAGTTATGCCAATCTTCTAGATAAACACATCACTAATCTATGAATTTATATAATTAAAATATTAAATAACTCTACTGTTTATTTCAAACTTTTTCAAAAGTAAAAAGTTTCATCTTAAGCTAGCTTATTTTTTGCATATCAATATATCCAAACTTCCATGTGTAATATTTTTATACTTACAGAAGACTTCCCAGAAAGGCTTGCCTTTTCATTTGAATTGTTTGGCAACTCCTGTTTTTTCTGCAGCAAAAATAAATTTTAAACTTATACAAGAACACTATATTTAACAGAAAATAAAATTTTCATAATTTTTAAAAAAGCTTACTTTATATATATATATACATACATACATACATACATGTGACAAGTTTGAGAAGCTCCAATTTAGTAGTACTGGAGTAATGGTGCACAAGACCTTAGTTTGAAAAATTATATATACACACACACACGTTTGTAAAAATGTAGATCCGTTAAAGGTAGATAATAATAAAGATATGTTGAGAATGTAGAACAAATATGTAGCAAAGGCAGATTTAGATATTCCTTTTTTTTTAAAGTAAATAATACAAATAATTGGGCACCATAACCAAGTTATTTATGTTGCTATTACAGTTTTTAGAGAATTAAATCAATGCTGTAACATTTCAAAAATATTACTTTGAAAAGAGCATGAATTAACATGCCTTGTCAGCAAGAGAAGCAGAAGAGAAATGCAATGCATTCAGCACAAAATCTTAATTTAGAGTGAGTTAGTTTTGAAACACTTTTATTGGCTAATTAATAAAACCCTAAAACTATTACTGGCTGTAGGCTTACGTAAGTTATCTGCATCAAAGCATCATTTAAAAATTATCCAATATGGATAATCTAGAAATGGCACAGCCTGGAGAGGTTGTTTACTATAAGCAATCACTATTTTTAAAACAAAAAGTGAAAATATGCAAATTAAAATGAACAATGAAAAGCCTACTGTAAATTTATGTTAGAATTTTGGTTTAGGTATGTTTTATTTTACATATATATGTACTTTCTTTTTAACCTCTTCGTTGTCCGAAACGAGTCTAGCACGTTCAAGTGAAACTTCTGCAGGGCAGCCGTAACGCACCTCAAATGTTCTTCTACATTTTAAAACACTTTTTAAATGTTTACTTGTTTGAGTTTTTATTTTTGTTTGTTCTAATACATCCTAGAGGGTAGCACTAATGAGGCATTCTATTTCCAATTGAATCTGCCCCTGGTTTTAGGAATATTCATGCCATTTTACATAACATACAAGACAGTGAGAGATGGCTTCAACATCTACTCAGCAGAAAAAGAGAAAAAATGAGGTTGTGAATTGGAAAGACAAGAAGGATATACGCTTGATAAGTACAGTCCATAATAACTCGATGATTGATGCTGGAACACAGAACGGAACTGTAAAAAAACCAATAATTGTAAAAGATTTTAACAACAAAATGGGAGGAGTAGTAGACTGCCTAGATCAGATGTTATCAAATTATCCTGCTGTTTGAAATAAGCAGAGATATTATTTTTCAGTTATGCTTTATTTCCTTATAATTTTATTTAATATTCATTGACATTCATCCACTACAAAAGTCATGTATGGAAAGTTATGATGTACAGAGAAAACAACATTACATGTTACAAAAAAACACACAGCCGCTGGAAGGGAAATTTTCACGGACAGGAGAGGACGACGAAAAGGTTATACCAGGAGTTCCCTAGTTTTTTGTTTTTTTTCCATCAACCTCTTTTAGAAGAACACTTCTCTCAAATGACGCTCCCCTCCCATTTTCTTCTGATATACAGCACACAATATTGCAAAAATAATTGCATACACAATATACAGTACAAAGTCTCTAATCCAGACCTCAAAGCCACAAACTTATGCATGCACATTTGATGCGCGCATCTGCTACGCATGCGCGTAAAGTAACATAGAACGTTATTGTAAACGAAAAAATTTCGATTAACAAGTTAGTCGGTATTCTCGACACAGCAATTACAGGACTTGAACTGTGGAACTTTGTAACTGAACAAGAAGTTATGTCTGTTTATAGAATTAAAGAGAAAGTATTAGCACAAAAAGCGAAGCAACTTAAACAAACTTCCATTGATAGAAATGTTTACTAAAGTAAACAAATAAATATTAAGCTTTTTTTTGTAAATTTTGATACCCTTTAGATCATAATTGCTCTTTATTTCATAAATTACGGTTTCATATTTTTAATTGTATAATTTCTGCATGCCATCTTACCAGATTTAAATTGATGATCTATAATCCGGAAAACCCCTAATCCGGAATCGCCGAAGTCCCGAAGAGTCCGGATTACGGACTTTGTACTGTACAACACAAAAATTGCATATAAATAACTTAAAGATAACAATTAGATTAAGAATATGAAAAACATTTTTGTGAAAAATGATTTACTTGATTTACACTTTAATCTGTTTCATATTTCTATTAGTTTTTAACTTTACAATCATAAACAAATTTTCAGAAACAAAATCACAGATTCCAATTGCACAAAAGTTCAAATTTAATTCTGATGGCTGCACTTGATGTAATGATGCAATTTTTTTAATATTTGGCAACACCTGCTTAACATAATTATTATTATCATTTCAATTAAAAGTACTCAGCATGCTTTCTGTTTTACATAGTAAATTATTAACATAACTAAAGCCTGCTTCTACTGGGTAAGAAAAGGCCAAAATCTATAATGTTATACAGTAAAACCAACCTTTATTTTACGATATTTCTGTCAGATGGCAGAGTTCACCAGTGGCCAAGTAGTAAAGTCACTGAACAGAATCCCACATGGTAATCCTAAAAGACCCTACGTAGTACTCGTCGAGACTTCGGCGATTCCGGATTAGGGGTTTTTCCAGATTATAAATCATCATTTTAAATCTGGCAAGATGGCATGCAAAAATTATACAATTAAAAATATGAAACTGTAATTTATGAAATTAAGAGCAATTATGATCTAAAGTGTATCAAAATTTACAAAAAAAAAAAAAAGCTTAATATTTATTTACTTTATTAAACATTTCTTTCAATGTAAGTTGTTTAAGTTGCTTCTTTTTTGTGCTAATACTTTCTCTTTAATTCTATAAACAGACATAATTTCTTGTTCAGTTACAAAGTTCCACTGTTCCAAGTCCTGTAATTGCTGTGTCGAGAATACCGACCAACTTGTCAATCGAAATTTTTTCGTTTTCAATAACCTCTCTGTCACTTTCCTGACTACCGGAAGCTGTACATCAAAACACGCTTTCGCTTTGTAGATCCTTTGGCAGCTCCAGAATTGGAAACTCTCTTTGACATAATCGAAAGTTCAAGCTTAATTTTTTTTTTTAAATTGCTCTAACAGTTTGCAAAAAATAATTAACCGGATCCAATTAGAAGATTAAGAAACAGAGCAATCTGCAACATTAACCGAAATGCCTTAGAGTCAGTAAAGATAGTTTTAGCATAGCTTATACCGTCCATTATACATTAAACGCACATGCGTAAAGCATACAAAAAAAAAAAGTTTGTGGCTTTGAGGTCCGGATTATAGATCATTCCATATTGCAGACTTTGTACTGTATAAGAAATATGACAAAATGCTAGAAGAGTGACTTTATATAGGGATAACTGAAGATGTGTCACCTGAAGATATTGAAGTCATATGTTGTTACCTTAGAGACCTGTGGTGAAACAATATGGAATAACGAAAATTAGACCTTTCTTTGATGCTTCTGCAAGGAAGAAGTCATTGCTTGAATCAGGGTCCAAATCTTTTCAAGCTTATCCTAAATCTTCTCTTCATATTTAGAGACAGAAAATATGAATTTTCTGCTGAAGGCCTTTCTGCAGAACAGTGTTTGAAAGCTTGATAGAAATTTCTTGCATTTCCCATGGTGGATTAAGAATGGTAATTAAAGACTATTTTGTTATACTAGAGTGGTTTTTGGTGTACTGAGCAGTCCATACTTGTTAGGAACAGTCAAATTTCCACTTGATAAAATATAAAATTAGTTGACAAAATCTACACCAAACTCAATGTTGTTGCATTATTAATTTTATGCTTTATGTGCTATGTTTCTCTTCTGTTTTCATCAGAGAAAATATTCAAAAATCTGAACTCTCTCATAAACAGAGAAAAAAATTTTATGTTGTGTTTTTAGCAAGTTTTGACAATGAAAAGGAACTTTTACAGTTCATACAATTATGGCAGAACAGGAATTAAATTTTAAGAGATTGGCAGTATACATTACAAAAGGATATCCTGCCATCAACAGTGTTGAGAATAGCTTTGGAACTGAAAAGAAGGCAGACTCTTTAAAATTAGAATCGCTAAAGCATTTCCAGTTGAGTGACATCACTAAAACACCAAGTTACACAATTTTTTTGATTCTGTACGATTTGTCTCTTCCGTTTTGTTACTCCCTATTCCAGAAAATATGCAAACAGTGAATGTTTTGGGATTAAAATGTAGACCCTGACACTGAAAATGAATCCAAGTGTCAGTTGATACTTGCTTCTATTGGAAAAGATTAGCATATCATATTGGTTTAACATTCCTTCCAAAGAAAAGAAGACATTAGTATTCATACTTTTTTATGCTAGCCAGCATGTGTATGCTGCTGGTGTATTCATAAGAGTGGAAACGGTGCATACAGTAGAAGTTAGTCTTTTAGTGGCAAGATCTCGAGTACGTCCACCAAATGCTATTATCATACTAGGTTTAAAGTTGATTACAGCATGTTCTGGAGCAACACAGCGTGTTTCTGTAGTAAAGGACTCAATTATTCTGATCAAAGGCAACAGTCTTAACTTAGAAATGAAAAATTATGGTTGATATTTGTGAGCAATCATGAGAAAGAAATCGGAAATCTGACAACACCTGAAGGGTTCTTCATGGCTGAAAGATAATCCAATTTCCAGTTATTTGACTTACGAAAGCTGTATTGCAAGGAAAATCAAAGTTACTTCAATCCCGTTTTTCGAATCAGACCTCTGTCTGTTATTCTTCCCTAGAAGACAATAACTATTGTGTATTTCATGGAAGAAAGTGATACTACAGTTACCTCTCATGCAATGCCAAAATTAGTTTGAAAAATCGCCTGGATTAGAAGATTCATTTTTAACTGTGAAACCGGAGTACTAATAGAAAAATCAAAGAACTAACTTATGACGAACACTGTGAAGCTGAGAAGAAAATAATTATGCTTGTACATGATAAAACGTTTACTTGTGATACAAACAAAAAAATTAAAACCACTGAATATGTGCAGAAATAGCAAGGAATTTAAGCACAAAATTGGTACATCATAAGTACACTCAAGATTTTAGAATATCTGTCCTTTTGCCTTTGCACGATTCAGTCATTGAGAGACTCTAATAGAACATAAAAGAAACACTCATGTTGCTATGCAAATTTTGTTAAAAACCTTAAGAGAATATTATTGAGTAATCAACGGCAGAGAAATTATTGGATGAGTGACCTCACAAAATAATATCTGTAAAAGACACAAGAGATCATTTGAATAGACCCTACAACTCCACTTATAGAAAATGAATACATGATTCAGCTGTGTTTGAAGTCGTAGGAACAGTCATGGCTGATCGCTTGCTTTTAAAAGGGGAAATTATAGTGTGGATATGTTTGTTCATATGTGCTGACATACCAAACAGTCCATTCAGAGCTGGCGACAGCTATATCCACTAAATTATTTTTCCTAACTCTCAGAAGATTCATTTCTAGAAATGGAAGACCCAATATTATACAAGGTGGTTATAATTAAACTTCAGATCTAAGGTTTCAGTGTAATACAAGTTTTGTGCACAATTTCTGTGTGGTGTCTTGCAAGAAAGTGTACAGCTCGTTCATTTTTCTTTGAACAAGAAAGTGTTATCGGTGACTCATTAGTAGACATGTTGAAAACCTGGTTGTTACTCCAGATGAACAACAATTATGATGACTACATTTTGCAACTGGACAGTGCTCTACCCCATTTTCACATGAACATATGAAAGTTTCTTAGTCATGTTTGTTACCAACGCTGAATTGGATATGCTGTAACAGCAGACAACAACCTTCTTCCCTAGCCATGTTCCTTACCAATGCTGAATTGGATGTACTGCAATAGCAGACAACCCCGTTCGCCGGATTTAACATCACGAGATTTCTTTCTTTAGGGGTTTGTTAAATACTGAGTTTATGTACCGCCCAAGCCTGCGTGCGTACCTTGAGGAAGTTTGTGATCAGATAAAGTGCCGTCACAGCAGATGTACCACATCAAGCATGGAAAGAATTTGATTTATTGTGTAGATGTGTGTCATGTGCCCAAGGTTGCACAAAATAAAGGGTTAAGATTACAGCATAAAAAACTGGGATAGTTACTGCAGTTCATGATGGAAGGCTTGCAGATATAAAGTAATACATAGATTTATTAAAATTCTTAAAACCACACCATTCAGTTATAAATGCCCTGTACAGTTCAGGAAATGTTAATCCTTCAAAGTGCAACTGATTTATCAATTTAATGAATTGCATATATTAATTATAAAAACACCAGTTTAGCTATAAAAAAACAGCTGCATAAAAAAACTCAACGAACTTTATCAAAAATTTAATGCAACTCAACTGTGATATCAGATTCCTAACTTCATTACTATTAACTCAAATTACTCTAGCAAGGTAAAATGAGGTGAGAGGGGAACTCACCTTTGATTTTGATTGTGTACTTTTTGTAGATGCATTCTGGAAAAAAACAAAAAAAAGTATTTAAAAAATCAAATTTCTTGCTTTATGTTTTTAGGAATTTAAAAGCATTAAGCATATATGCTACTATGGATTTAAGCAAAACCGTATCATTAAAAGAGATATAGTGATAAAATTTGAATTACAGTAACAGCAAGTGCATTTTTATTATGTATCTTTCATATTTCGTGAAACTTCCAGTTATTAAATATGGTTATTAATTTCTGTAGCACCTCCTAAAATAAGATGTATTACTATACATTCTAGATAAAAACAACACCCTTATCCTAGGATAGTACAAACTGCCAATGTAAGTAAAGCTTAAAACATCGAAATAAAGTGAAGTGACAACATAATTTTGTTAAAAAAAAGTAAGTTACAGAGAACTGTGCATACTACTTTAAATCTAATTTTAAATGGCACTTTTTTAAAACTGCACCGTTCTGTGCAAAAATGGCCATACTTATTCTGCATAGAGCACTTATGAGTATTTCGACATACATTATAGATGTGTATACTAATAAAAAAGATATAACAGCCTTCAACTCTCAATATTTTTGACAGAATATGCTTATCTCAAATTACACAGTGACAGAAAATTAGTTACTAAAATGACTTATATAAGTTTTAAAAAATGCTGATATTTGGAGCTACGAGTATTATACTGATGTTTGGAGACGATGATTCGCCAGTTTTACAGAAATTCAAAAATTCTATCTTTCAAATCCTCAGATCATCAAATCTCAGAATACGTAACAAAAATAACAAACAGATATACATATGTGGAGAGAGAACTGTAATTTCCAAGCTTTTGTTCATGCATGGGTTTTATTCATTTACATTTCGTTTAATGGTTACATCAGCATTATATTTGTTTTCAGTCAATATTTCTTCACTTTTACATTTCCTGTAAGACTTATCTCTTTTAATTAATACAAACTGAGGAAGCAAAGAAGAAATTTAAGGTTTGAAAAAAGTAGCCAGAAGTTAGCAATGCTCCAAAAATCCCCTTCAATGGGAATATGATTCATATTGCAGATTAACACTATACAAAAAAAATACACTGCTGGCCCATTAAAATTGCAATACCATACAGGAAAGCAAATACAGAGAAGATATTTATTGCACGTAAAAACAGAACGGCATGAAGACAAAATGATTAAATTTGTAAGCATTTTGGAGGTTTATAGGGATGCAAAATTAGTAAGAAACAGCTGCCACCCATACCAGCTAAAATGGCCCTTACCACATTCGGCATGTATTCAAACTAGGCTTGGATGACAGCAATGGGTAACTCATTCCATGCTGCTTCACGTCTATGCCAAACTTCATGAACTGTATTAGCTGGAGAGGGGTGGCAGGCCAGTCTGTCAGCAACTCATGGCCATATATTTTCAATGAGTGACAGATCTGGAGACCGTATAGGTCTGAGCACAAATCGAATACCCTGTGTATCGAGGAAGGTCAGAATACGACATGCAACATGTGGTCTTGCATTATTTTGTTGGAACATGGTGTTTCGGGACCTTGAAGATAGGGCACAACCACTGGACATAAAATGACAGAAATGTACACATCTGCATTCAAATTACCCTTAATCCGAACTAGAAATGTGCATATCGTGTACCCAGGCATGAAAGTGCAAGTTGGCAAAAAAAAGCTAAACAACGCACGGACACAAAAAACTAAATGTGCACGCACAACCTCAAAAAAAAAAAAAAAACGTATTTTAATAAAATATCAACCTTTTAATATAAAAAGTATTAACCCATTCCCTGCCATGATCCCCATATTTGTATACATTGTGACGTCATGCTGCACCTGGGTGGTCCCTTATGGGTGATCATGCTTTCCTGAAGATTGTAACTAAGGGTAGAAATCTTAAACGAACACGTGGACTCAGTTAGTTGAGCTCACGAGTTTATTTTTCTTGCTCTCTCATTACTTTTCACGAGGAAAATAATACAATTATTTTCAAAGCACAAAAAAAGTTACTCAGGAACAATTATTTTTGTTGTACTGAATTTCCCTTGATCATTGGTAAGTAAATAATATATTTATATATTATTTATCCTCATACTCTAATTTGGATGGGTACAATGAACCTAGATATATCGATCCCCATTTGGGAATCATGGCTGATACTGACTAAAATTGTAAAAAAACTGTTTTTCTTTTTTTTTTTCAGCAAATGTCACGTAAAAGATAACTTTCTTTAAAAGAAATAGAAGAATTGTAAATTATGATTTTTTTTTTTTTTTTCCCATCTGACGATGACGACGATATATATATATATTATTGATAGAATTGTTGATATAGATATTGTTGAAATTCCACCAGAGCGGGTTGATGAGATTTCAGATAATGAGGACATGGATGACAACGTAATTGATGATGAAGAACCAATTGATGTTTCCGTGTGTGTTGAAATTCACCGTGTGGCAGGATTTTAGGAAAATGTTTTAGTAAATGCAACTGAATCTTCAGCAAATGAAGTAACAAAAGGTACCAGCTTACCACCTGCTAAAAAGAGAAAAGAAGTATTGACTTCCAATTGGAAAAAGCAACCTAAGTACTCGGAATTATATGAAAATTCTGACATTATAGAGACAAGGCAAAATGATGTCATCAGAAAACTCAGGGGAAAATCCCAGGAGAGCATTTTGAAATTACTTTTTGATAATGAAACTGTCACCTTTATTGTCCAGTGGTCTGTAACATACACCAGACAGAAAAACAATCATCAATTTCAGCTTTCTAATAACTGCCTAAAAATTATTGGAATACTTCTTTTCACTGGCTATCATTCACTTTCGCAAGAACAATTATATTAGTGTGAAGATGAAGACATGAACATTCTGTGTGTTAGAGCATGCATGAGTCAGAATAGGTATCTGGAAATTAAACGGTACCTACATATCAGTGACAACTCCGATTTAGAAAGGATTCCACTAGGTGAACGTGATAACCTCTTCAAGATTCGCCCATTGATTGACAAGCTGAATGACAAATTTCAACAATTTGGGATGTTTTCTGAAAGTCTGGGCATTGATGAACAAATGGTTCATTACTATGGACATCACTAACTCAAACAATTTATACGTGGTAAGCCAGTGAGGTTTGGGTTCAAACAATGGGCTATCTGTTGTTCACAGACTGGATATTGTTATCAGACTCAAGTGTATGAAGGCAAATCAAAGAAATTAGGAGATGATGAAAGAATCAGTAGGCTTGGGACATCTGTTGTCCTTCAGAAAGTATCTATTCTTCAGACACCAAATTCTCATAAAGTTTACATCGACAATTTTTTCACATGATTTTCTCTGATGAAACATTTGCAGGACACTGACGTTAGAGCAACAGGAACTGTTCGATTCAACAAAATGAACAAATGCCCTATTGCAACAAAGAGATAAGGAAAAAAGAATGTGGGGCATATGACTACAGATTTGATTTTAGCTGTCACGTGGAATGACAAAAGTTGTGTAAGGCTTCTGTCTAATCATGAAACTATCGAACCAATATCAGAGGTGAAGCCATGGAGTAGAACAGAGAGGAAAGATATTCAAGTACCACAACCCAAACTGATATCAGAATATAACAAATACATGGGTGGAGTAGACAAGATGGATTGGAATGTTCAAAAATACAGAATCAGAATAAGGGGGGGGGGAAATGGTATTTTCCTTTGCTTACTAATGCCATCGACGTAACACTGGTTAACGCCCACGCACTGTATTGTATTTCAAATGATAAAATTCCATTGCTAGATTTTAGGAGGATGGTTGCTAGAGGATATCTTGCTTTATCTTCAGAACTCTCAGATGCAAAAAAGGGTGGAAGGAATTCTTTCACTAAAGCATCAATTAATCGTGTTCCTACTGTTATCAGAACATCTGGTAATCATTATATTGAACGGACCGAAAATGGTAAACAAAGAAAATGTGCAGTGTGCAAAACAAATGCAAGAAAACAATGTGGAAAATGTAATGTTGGATTACACGTAGACTGTTTTGAACGCTGGCATTAAAAGTAGATAGTATCAGCCATGATCCCCATTTGGGGATCGGACTTAAATTTAAAATTTCTGAAAAAAAATTGACGCATTTATGAGAAAAACATGTTTTGCTTATTATTTAGATGTAAACTAACAGGAATAAAATAAAAACTGATGAAATAAAAATTTGGCAGTTAATGGATTAAACATATAATTAAACTAAAATAATACTTTTACTTACTATTTTGCTATTAATTTTATCTTCCACTTGTAAAAAACAAAAATCAGTAAATCACCAAGAGATTGTAATGAATTAACCTTCTTTAAGATGCTCTTTATGTAACTTAATTTAACAGTTGATACATGAATACTGTACACAACATTACAACACACTAATATACATATTTATGTTATATATTACTGCCCATTTACAGGCAATGACAAATTTTAGAGATAAAATATACAGTCAAAAGTCTTTAATCCAGACGTCCATAATCTGGAACGATCTATAATCCGGACCTCAAAGCTACAAACTTTCTGCGCATGCGTCAATGCATTATGCGTTAACGCATGCGCCTAATACCTTTACGCATGCGCATATGCATCTACGCATGCGCATGATACGTTTACGTATGCGCGTTTAATGCATAGCAGACGGTATAAGCTAAGCTAAAATTATCTAATTCAGTTAATGTTGCAGATTGCGTTGTTCCTTAATCTTTTAATTGGATCCGGCTTATTATTTTTTGCAGACTCTTAGAGCAATTTTATAAAAGTAAGCTTGAACTTTCGATTATGTCAAAAAGAATTTCCAATTCTGGAGCTACCAAAGGATCTACAAAGCGAAAGCATGTTTCGATGTCCATCAAACAAAAAGTGGAATTGCTGCAAAAAATGGATAAAGGCATATTCTTTGATTCTCTAACCATTCCGAAATATGTTTATCAATTTCATGCTGCTTGGGGGGGGGATGTGGCACGCAATGTACTGGAAGTTGATCTGT